CATGTGGTGCATACGAACTGTTTCGCGCCCGACGGACCTGGTTTTCGAAGAAACAAGGACAGGGACTCAGGCCCTATCTTACTGTGTAGGCCATAGTGTCCGCGTTTATAATGAGCCATAGCGGTCTGTATCTCCATCCCTGTAGGACCAATTTATATTTTCTGCTCTCAGACTCCCAAGTCACGACTTCTTGTGTACCGTTATAGAACCAAGCGCATTAGATTTTTGTGGTGGACAGTGTGCTGAAGGTTCGTGGGAATTTAGTCCGGTGAATCAACCCCACCCTCTTTCCCCTCTCGCATATACCAGTCCTCTGTCTCGTCCATTTCAGTCATCTGATGCTGGGATTGGCTAATAGGTGGCTAATAGACCTGCAACAGTCCGCATACGTGTGCGTACACGACCTGGTCGGACACTTGGTTGCGCAGAGATCATGTTTCCCACTGACATGAGCATGACATGTTCTGTCCGTGTGTCGGGTTCGGATGTGGTGTGGAGGCTAATTAGGTGCGGTGTATTGATGAGGTCTGAACTGTGGCCTCTTACTCCCCATTTTCATGGAGGAGCATAGGGCCGAATAGGCCCACGTGGTGACTGAATTTTCGTGGGCAGTGTATGCAGTTGACGCGGGTGCGGCGGGTGTATATCGGAACTTTCGGCATTGGTTAGCTGGTCTCAGTACGATGGCTTCGCAGGTGATCAGTCAGGCCGAGGCGTATGCCTAATTTCTGTTACATCCAATTAACGTTCCCTGATTTCGTTAAAAGACCAGCAATTATTACATTCATCTTTCTTTAAAACCATACTGACCGTGAAGATCCTCACATCTGACGTGACGTTCCGTTAGTCTTCTCAATGACATTCGATCAGCTTTGGACAGCTGTGTTTACTGTCAAACGAACGTTGGTACTATGAAGTACAGGCAGATGGACTTTTGGACTTCACGCTGGATGCTGTTTGTACACCTCTTGAACATGGCGCCAATAGGACGATGTTGGCAGTTTAGAAGATTTCAGTCAGCCCACGTTCAGGTGGTTTTGATGCAGTTAGCGTCGTGAAGCTCTTTCGAGAGTCTTGTCTGTGATATATTCAAATAGACCGACTAAAGTGACGAATCTTCCTGGAACGATTGGCCGTAGTTCGATCACAAGTCAGGGACAAAGGAGGGGAGACCCAAGTCAAGCGTTGGCAAACTTTGTCATCTACAAATCTGGAATCGTGCGATGGACCGTACTATTTCGGGCTATGACTTTTTGCATTTTTTCGCTTGGATTTCGACTGGGTACAAGTCCACTTTACGCAGAAAAGTCACGTCCATATGTTCAGCCGGCTACTAAAACTAGCCATGCCTTCTACTTCTGAGTATTAACAAAAAAACTTTATCTCACCGTCATAGACAATTTAATAGTTCGTCATCTACTCTGCGCACTGAATTGTGTTCCATCACAACCTAGGCTGACTAGCCGGTGACGAAGTGCATTGACTCAGGCCCTCATAAATTATTCTATTGCTTATTTTTTTATACAGGAACTCTCCAAAGCCCTGGAAACCCCTGTCTCTGTTGTTGGTTGGTATCATTCCCATCCTCATATCACGCCATTCCCAAGCCACGTGGACGTCCAAACCCAGCTTAATTTCCAGGCTATGGACCGGAACTTCGTAGGACTCATCTTTTCCGTCTTTGTCCACCAACCTAATTCGCCAGTGAGCTGCTAACACCTTATTTCCCTCCCTTGCAAGCCATTGACGTTATCTATCCACTTAATAGACTGAAGTACTGAAGTAATTTTGTTAGCACTACTGGGAAGTGTCAAGCCGTCGCTTTTTTTACCGAAATCTGTGACGTTTGTTTGTCCTGTAGGGGCAGGTTGTTTCCCTACTCGGCTTTCAGTCGACCACTGGACAGAAAGAGGAGCGTATCAACGTGCGCATACAGCCCCTCCTCAAATCTTCAGCGAACTTCTATCAGGTATCTAGCAGGCTCTGGCGATCTGTTTCGGATTGTATTCAGAATGAGTTCATCTCCAAGGCTGAAGTTACCATCGC